AGACATCTTCTTCTCTCAATCAATCTCTCTCTCTTTTTCTTCTAAGAGGCGTGAGAAAAATCCAGCCACGAGCCTCCCTATATATACNCATAAAGAGCACATCCCAAAATCCTAAAGAGATTTTCCTTCTTTGTAGTTATCCTTTCCTTATTTTTCTCTTCAAATATCTTCTTGGAATATCTTTCTCCTTTCCTCCAAGTAAATATTTATTTCTTTTTTCTAACCCAATCCACGCTTGTGAATATCAATACACGAGATCTTCTTCACAAATCACACAACTTAGCTTCTCTATCACTTCTTGTAATAGTCTCTGTAGTACAGTCGACTGGTACAGGAAAAACTCCAAGTAACTCCTCTCAGATCACTCTGATTTTTGAATCAATCTTGGTCGGTCAAGTCCAGAAGAAACTGGGAGGCTCCATTTATGTTTCATGACATGAATCTATTGGGAGTCAATTCCATGATCAAAATCTAATAGCTTTAAATTTCATAAGCACGTGAGCCCATTAAACCTTGAACCATTCTGTAAAAAGACTAAGCCAAATCATTTGTAAAATGAACACAAAGACATAAGTGCAAAATGAAGATACCATACAAAGAGTTCCGATGAATTAACAATCTGAAAACATATATAATCTGAAAGATCTTTTTGGGTTGAAAGCAGATGACTTTAATACTAAAGAGTGGAATCCAAATCAGTTGTTTGGGAAGACTGTGCTTCACAAGAACTTCCAGTGTGACCATTTGCTTGAACCTTGATACAACCATTAGCACTTGGAGTTCCGTTCATTTTTTATTTACCTTTGACAGCATCATGATCAGTTTGGAATTGAACTTTGATCTATTCAGATTCAAACATAAAACTGAAACCGGATTTTAGAACTTCAAAATCAGCTTCCCCACCAGTACCATTTATCACACTAAACTCAAATGATGCCTTGGTCCGAGCACATTTACGCGGGTCCTGGCCTTCAGCAAGTTTTATGAAGTCTAGACAGTTGGTGTAGCCAATAAAGACATGATCAGACTCAACCCCGTCTACTTCATTGTCTTGTTTAATCAAACTTCCATCCTTCCATGTAATGCCGTTGCAAGAGCTCTCTCTGGTTTTTGTCTCACAGGTGAATTTGACATTCAAGTTGGCATGATCTTGACAGTTATGGAATGAGACAACAACACATAGAGCTAAACCAGAAAGCCTAGTGTGATTCCAATGTGATGGCAACTCAAACTCCACCATAGATCCAATTGCTTCATGATAAAACCATGAAGGCATTTCACATCCAGGAAAGCTAGTGCAGAACAAAATTTCAGGAACACAAACCTACGTGCAAAGTTATACGAAAAGCGCAAACCATTAACTTTGGTTCCAATAAAGGTATATACAAAAGGAATATGTCAAAAAGGAGGAAGAGAAATACCTAATTGTAGCGTTTAAGTGCACTTGATGGAAACTGACACTTCCTTTCAGCATAAGCTACAATTTCTTCTTTTGCACTTTGTTCTAATTTATTGCAATTAGTGAAAATGAAGGTGGAATGGACCTGTTCCGTAGGCAAAGAACATACCAGTGGTTTGGCAATTGTTCTCAGTGAGCTACAACCACGTACATCAAAACACTAAAGATTTGGTGGAAGCTGTGTAACATGTGTAAGATTCTTGCAATACTTCAACTCAAGCCATTGTAGTTGAGAAAAATAATTGATTATATCCGGAAGGTGGCTGGTCTTTTCATTCGTGCTTAAGCATAAACGCCGCACTGAAAATATCTTTGGTATCTCTTCTATGGTTGTCTCATCCAAAAGCAGAATCTCTAAACGGCTCATACTTTTCCCACTTTCTGGAATTTCTTTGAGCTTTGAACAACCAGAAAGTATAAGTTCTTCAAGAGCTCTCAGCTCACCAAGATTGTCAGGGAGCCTTTTAAGCTTCTTGCAGCCTTTCATGTTCAATAAGACGAGTCTTTGGAGGATCTGAATGTCACAAGGAAGTTCTTTTATTGCAGTGCCATCCAAGTATAGAGCTTCTAGCTTATCTGAAATAACCTGAAAGGTTTTGAACTTTGAGCAGTCGCTAAGGATGAGAGTTTTCAATGATATCAATTTAATCCGTGGAAGAGACTCGAGACTTGTGCATCCTCTCATGTTCAAATAAACAAGACACTTCATGTTTTGCATATCCTCATGCAACGTTTTCAACCCCGTGCAGCCTTCTAGATTTAATTCTTGAAGATTTTGAGCCCTTCCTAACCCCGAAAAAGTGCTCAACTTTCTTGAATGATTCAAGTTGACCCATTTTAGTTTTGGAGCATCCTGCCACAAAAGAAATAGAAACAAATCAACTGATTATATAATGAGTGAGACATGTAAA